AGGGCGCTGCGCACCGCTCGTTTTATTCGTCGGTGTATATTTAAATTTCTGGCGCCGTTTCAAACGCAACGTGTTTATATAACAGAATGAATGCGGAGAATTAAGCGCGGGTGCATAATTTGCTCGCGTTCTTACTGCCAGCAAGCACTAGCGGAGAGAAAGAGTTACATTAACTCCTAGCAGAGAGAAAGAGTTACATTAACTCCTAGCAGAGAGAAAGAGTTACATATACTGTAGCTAGCTGAGTGAATAGCATCGGACTGGTTGTATAGTTGATCTTCACCGGAGAAGGAGGAGCCGTGTACGTGAGGTGGGGTCGCACAAGCTGTCCAGAGACTGGAGCGGAACTTATCTATGATGGTATACTACACCTATACTCACTCACTCATCCTACCATCGTTCATAGTTATACATAATTATCATCTATAATGGTATACTACACCTATACTCACTCATCGTACCATCGTTCATAGTTATACATAATTATCATCTCTCATCGAACCATCGTTCATAGTTATACAGAATTATCATCAATGATGGTATACTACACCTATACTCACTCATCGTACTATAGTTCATAGTTATACAGAATTATCATCTATGATGGTATACTACACCTATACTCACTCATCGTACCATCGTTCATAGTTATACAGAATTATCATCTATGATGGTATACTACACCTATACTCACTCACTCATCGTACCATCGTTCATAGTTATACAGAATTATCATCTATGATGGTATACTACACCTATACTCACTCATCGTATCATCGTTCATAGTTATACAGAATTATCATCTATGATGGTATACTACACCTATACTCACTCATCGTACCATCGTTCATAGTCATACAGAATTATCATCTATGATGGTATACTACACCTATACTCACTCTTCCATCATAGATGATAATTTGTATAACTATGAACGATGGTAACATGAGTGAGTGAGTAATAGGGTAGGTATACCATCATAGATGATAATTCGCTATAACTCATGAACGATGCTACGATGAGGTAGGTGAGTAATAGGTGTAGTATACCCATCATAGATAATATTCTGTATAAATAAACCGATGGATACGATATGAGGAGTCATAGGTGTATGTATTCCATCATAGATGATAATTTGTATAACTATAACGATGTACGATGATGAGTGAGTATAGGTTAGTATATCATCGTAGAAGAATAATCTGTACTAACAATGCCCGATGGTACGATCGAGTGAGTAGTATAGGTTAGTATGACCATCCATAGATGATAATGTCTGTATAACTATGACCGATGATACGATGAGTGAAGATCGATGTAGTATACATCATAAGATGATAATTCGTAATATAACATGAACGATGGTAACGGTGAGTGAGTATAGGTGTAGTGTAAACCATCATGGATGAAATGTCTGTATCACTATGAACGAATGGTCCGAGAGTGAGTGAATAGTGTAGTATATTCCATCATAGAATGAAATGTATAACTCAAAACGATGTAAGCGATGAGTGAGTGAGTATAGGGAGTATACCATCATTAGATATAATTTGTATAACTATAAACGAGGTACGATGAGTGAGTGAGGATAGGTGGAGTATAGCATCATAGAGATAATCCTGTATAACTATGAACGATGGTACGAATGATGACAGTGAGTATAGGTGTAGTATACCATCATAGATGATTCATTCTGATAACTATAAACGATGTACGATACGTGAGGAGTATAGGGTAGTATACATCCCCTAGATGATAATTCTTATAATATGAACGGTGGTACGAATGAGAGTGAGTATAGGTTATATACCCATCATAGATGATAATTCTGTAATAACTATGAACGATGGTACGCATAAGTGAGTATAGTGATATAACCATTCTATAGATGCGAATTCTGTATAACTATGACGATGGTACGAGTGAGTGAGTGAGTATAAGTGTAGTATAACCATATAGATGATAATTCTGTATAATGAACGATGGTACGGATGAGTGAGTGAATACTCGGTGTAGTAAATCATCATAGAATGATAATTGTATAACTATTAACTATGATACGATGAGTGAGTATAGGTTAGATACCATCATAGATGGTACTTCTGTATGACTTATAACGATGGTACGATGATCGAGTCTAGTGTTATACATCATAAATGATAATTCTGTATAACTATAAACGATGATACGGACGAGTGAGTATAGTGTAAGTCTCCATACGATCAATTCTGTATAACTATGAAGCGATGGTACGATGAGGGAGTTGAATAATAGGTGTAGTAAACCATCATAGATGATAATTCCTGCTGTAACTATGAACAAGGTACCGATGAGTTGAGTATAAGGTGTTATATACCATCATAGAAATAATTCGTTATAACTATAAACGAGGTACTGAGTGAGTGATATAGGTGTAGTATACCATCAAGATTATAATTTGGATAAACATGAACGATGGTACAATGAATGAGTGAGTATAGGTGTAGTATACCACTTATAGATGATAATCGTATAACCTATAACCGAAGGTACGATTACGAGTGAGTATAGTTGTAGTATATCAATCATAGAGATAATTCTGTAACACTATGAACGGTGGTTACGAGAGTGATGAGTAAAATGTAGTAACCACATAGATGATCATTCTGTAATAACTAATGAACGATGGTACGATAAGTGAGTAAGGGTCGTATACCATCATAGATGATAATGTCTGTATAACTAAAGCAATGGTACGATGAATTGAGTGGTATAGGTGTAGTATAACCATCATAGAATGATAATCCTGTAATAACTATAACGAGGTACGGATGAGTGAGTATAGGTGTAAGTATACCATCAAGATGTATCTGTCTACTACGTAACGATGATACGATGAGTGAGTATAGGTGTAGTATTACCATCATAGATTGATAATCTGTATTACTATGAACGATGGTACCGATAGTGAGGAGTATAGGTGTAGGATAGCCATCCAATAGATGATAATTCTTATAACTATGAACGAATGGTCATGATGAGTATAAGGTGTAGTCTACCATCATAGATGAATAATTCTGTGTAAACTAGACCGATGACGAAGAGTGAGTATCAGGTGGTAGTAATACCAATCATAGAGATAACTGTATGAGCTAATGAACCGAGGTAACGATGT